ATTGTACCCGTCCAGACGTTTTAGAAGTACTTAGCAAGTTTATAAATTTATAAACGTCATTTTTGACAAAAATGTACTTTAGCTTCCGGCGGAAGCCAAAATAGTGACACTTTATGCCCTTACATGAGGGAAGAAAATCACATTTCTATATAGTGAGTAGAAAAATACTTTTAGCTGAATACCAAATTTCAATGAGTTCTGATTAGCCGTTCTGGAAATATTTAGCTGTATCCATACTTTTTAGCAATCCTGAATAAATAAAATTCGCAAAATCAAATTTGATAATTTTTGGAAAAAGCTGGATATATTTTATGATACTTCAGGGGCCAGGGAAGTTGTGCCGAAATAACCTTCGATCAATTTTTTGTTCAAAGCACCGAAAATATCAGTTATAATAATAATTAATTAAATTAAAATAAAATAACAAATACAGAAAAATTTTTTTCAAAATAGTATTGAGTACTGATTGTTCCGTATGATTTTTTAAAATTTGACTAAAATAGAAGATCTGGAAATAAAAGATGTGAAAAAGAAGAGTGGTTTATCTATTTTTTATGTAAATGCCATTGTTATTGACAATAATTGTTTATGCCACTACCGTTGCCACAAATTGAAGTCAAACTAATTAAACTACCCCTTTACAACGCCCCAGCTGTTCACATCTTTTGTTTCCAGAACTTCCTCTTATGTCCATTATAAAAAATCGGACGCTGTATGCATTTATATTTTCAAAGTATTGTTGGTTGCATATACTTTTTATTTTAAAGCACAGTCGCAGTATAACTAACTGCCCATTCACAATGGACATAAGACATAAGAACGAGCGCATAACATAATTTACGTTTTTGGTTTGTGTCTGGCTTATGCTTATCTACGTTCACAGTGGACAGAGTGAACTCTGTAAGAATTGTTAAACTGCGCAAACGCAGAACGGAATAACTCCCGGCTAAACATAGAAACGGCTAACTTCAAACTGAGTCAATCAAAATATCTAACCTACAATTTCATACGATATTCGAAGTTGACAACTCGCAGTACAAAACAGACTCGCAGTGTGAAGCTTTGATTATAATTTATATAATATAATCAAAGGTGTGAAGTGCCAAGTGCCAACTGTCAAAGGGAATTCAATAGCAGCATTCAAAAGTCCCTAGATTTTAACATAATTTTGACATAATTCGTGCACAAAGTTGAACTTATTTCAACTTTGTGTACGCACACAAGGATTACATAAAACGTTCATAAGCATAAGAACTACGTTCGTCCACTGTGAACAGGGGTACACGTTTTCCATCGTTTCAACTTTATGTATTTATGTAAGCTTTATGTACTTGTTATGCCTTATGTCCATTGTGAATGGGCAGTAAGTATCATTGAATGATCTCTATATGTGTGGTGTACAACCTGGCAACGTCGGTATGTATCGGTAGGTTTAAGCCTCCTAAAAAATCACCCCTAAAATGTCAAGTTTAAAGTAGTCATAGCGGCCCCTTTAAATGTTCAGCCATATACTGGAAATGTTTATTAGACCACGGTAGTAGAAGTAAGACGTGGAAACCTCATTCATAACTTTTCTCCAAAATCATTGATACAAAACAAACGGCGTGAGTTGGATTAAATTTACATACCGTACCGACGCGTAGAGAGATCCATTTAATTTCTAGTTATTTATTATACCAATGAGTTAGGTAGCATATAACTCACGAGAGAAAAGTTTCGTCACAAGCGACGAAGGAGCGAGTGGACTAAATTTCTCGAGTGTGTTAGAGCCCTAACTCGCGAGTTTAATATAACATTTTATCCAACACATGAATTAATCGCTAAAATACTGATAAATAAATTATTTGACACTTCCTATCAAACATGACAAGAATGGACTGCAGTTGAAATGGGTAGTGGAATGGTCTTCAGTGTGTTGCTAATGTAAACGAAAAATTTAGAAATCTGGTGAAATTGTGGAAAATTTGCGCTGTTTCGTGAATAATTATGGAAAAAATTCGGGAAGAACCCGCTGTAGCATCTTCAAAGATTGTTGGCGTATCTCCTGAATCTTTCAAAAATAGTTGCTTCTTCTTCAGCGTGGACCAAATGTTCAGTGTTGATTTGTTGTTAAACTTTCGTTTCAATAAATGAATACGTAGTTTATCTTATGATTTGACATAACAGTGAGTTAGGGTTATAACTCACTCGTGGGTTAGAGTAATAATTCACAGGGTTAATTATAATAGTATATTATTTGACAAGCGCATAATGTAGCATATTATTCACGAGGATGAAAATTACACACGAGCCGCAGGCGAGTGTGTAAATCATCCGTGTGAATAATAGCCATTATGCGCTAGTTAAATACGACGTTTTATCTACGACTCTAAACAAATTATACACGTTTCACAAATAATAATTTATTTCAGAAACAATAAACAAAACAAATAAGTAATTAATTATTATTATTACTTGTCTTAGCAAGAAAATTAAATGTAAAATGGCCACTGCAGTTTGAAATCTGTATTGGCTTGCCTTTCATGTCAACACTGACATTACTACTGAGGGAATGGGAATTTTTAACAAAATTACTAGTTTCTCTTAAACCACAATTAGTTTCACTTGATGTACATGGGGGAGATGGATTCATCACAACATTATCGCAGTTTACAGCAGCATACTCCTCTATGTTTTCACAGTTTTCTGCCATTACAGGAGCTCGAATTGATGTACATGGTGTTGACGAGGGATTCACCTGTTTAAAAATTTTCTTTGATGTTTCTAGTTTGTATTTCACACTGTTATCTATGTAGCCCTCTGCCACGGAGGAGCTTTTCCATCCTCCGTGGCGTTTTAAATCGGTTATGTCCCCTCCACCATCCACCAATAAAGTAGCCAAGGATCTACGAAAAGAGTGTCCAGTAAATAATTCTGGATTTGGGAGCCCCAAATATGCTGCAACTTCTTTCGGCATACCACCAAATTTATTGATACCTATTCTCTGCATAGTACATTTACCATTCTGGTAATTAAGGAAAAACACATCTGATTGCACTTCAGCTGGACGTAAATCAAGATACTTTTTGCATATTAAATAGTAATCTTCAGTTACTGTGAAAGATCTTCTAATCTTTGTTTTAGTGTTGGGCAGTGTTACCAAAAAAGCTGAATTCAAATCTTTGATGTCTTGAATTCGCATTGAATGCAGTTCTTGAGTCCTACATGCACCCATTATGCCCATTATCAAAGCCACCTTTAAAAAAATAATAAATGAAAACCTACAACATAATTTTGAAACAATAATTTCTTACCTTCGTTGCTAGATATTTTACATCAGGGGCTTCAGTGATGAATTTAGTTATTTGTTGAGGACTAAGCGTTTTCGCTTTCTTTGGCTGGTAATTTTCTCCTTGACGCTTTAAGAATGCTCTTAATTTATGGTACTGTTCTATATTAATGTTATGATTGATGTTGAAAGTACTTCGTAGCATGGAGTAATAAGTCCACAGCGTAGAAATTTTGTATTTACTTGATAAGTCTGCAAAGTATGCTAATATCACCCGTTCGGAAAATGAGGTAATCTTCTTTTCTTGTTTCCACTTCATTAATTGATTGTACGCTATTTTGTACAATTTTTGAGATTTCTCTGGTAACAGGTTAACAGCACCAGCTGCTTCTGCCACTTCGGGAGGTGTGCCAGGAAGATTTTCAGTGTTTTCATCCATTATAACTGATGATAACCTCTTATAAAAACACTCGTCGGTAATAAATTTTCGCAAGAAATCAAAATTCAAAACAATACGCACAATGGCGGCTAAGCGTCCGTAGTAGCAGGTGGCAACGTAAACAACGTCAGAGCCATCTACAATCTACAATCGCGAAATACGAATTCCGTTTAGATTGTAAATTTAAATTTTAAATCCTACACAGAATAATAACTGTTAAATATATAACACGTAAAAAACGAATACATACATAGTTTTGACGTTTATATTTTTCTAGAAAAAAAGGAACAGTATTTTAGGACATTTTGAAATAAATCCATTATTCACTAGTGTTTAATATTCATTAAACACTAGTGATTAATATGGGGTATTATGTATCTATAGTTACGTACATAATGCGTCTATTATTAAAGAGTCGTAGATAAACCACTTTACTTAATAGAAATCACAGTTATGGCTGTTTTATGTGCATGTGTTGGATAAAATAATAAAAAACTGCATTCATTCTTTGGCATTTATAAGTGTCATCCACCAATAACACAAAACACCAACAACAAACCATAGTGTCATGATTTATTCTCTCTCCAACGAATTTAATTTTGATACCTAGATGGACATAGTATGCTGGTTACTATTTCGTAGTAAATAAGCCTGATTAGCAACTTGGAGCAGCTTGTTTCCACATCATACCTCTACCACGGTGATTAAGACTTTTTATATTGTTTTTATTTTTAAATAGTGAAATTTATTAATTTAAATGAGGTGCTTCTATAAATTTAAAATAAAAATATTTTTATAGTATCCACACTCTACATCTTGTGAATAGCCCAAAAGAGAACTTTTTTATTAAATTTTAATATTTACCATACTTTTTCGACATTTTACCAACACTACTATGTGTTTGCTTGCTTTTACCTTTCAGTCCATTACATTAGTACACATTAGACACAACCACCAAATGTATTGTTAAGTAATTTTTCTTCATCGTAAATAAGATACAATCAACAGAAAATGTCCTGAAGATAGTGTTGGACGAGCAAACTGTTTTTCGAGTTCACGTTAATATCTGAGTGTCTTCATTGCGTGTTATGGGACAAGACGAATATTCAAAACGGAAACAAGTACCAACTTTATATCTACTCTCATTCATGCAGTTTTTCTGCTGTACCTAATTAAAGAAACCTCCATTCCGCTTTTCCTTATAGAACCTTTAATTTCCCTCAACTTTTTCAGTCATTTTCATTTCATCGTTGTTCCACACACTCGATTTCATTATAATTTCTTTTTCACCAGGACCCGCTAGCCAGCACCGACATTAACGGCAACGACGACGATCCCATGCCGCAAGATAATGGAGATAATAAGCACGGTACCCGTTGCGCTGGTGAAGTGGCTGCTGTTGCTTACAACCAATTTTGCGGAATAGGCGTCGCCTACAACGCGAGCATAGGAGGTGAGCTTTCATCCACCAGAACTCTTCTTCTTTATTAAATATCAGCTCTGCCATGTTTTCATTAAATTAATTGCTGACGGATTTACTTCATTTTACTCGAGCCGAGTAATGAGCGAAGTATTTTCCGTATTGTTCATCACTCCTCAGATTATTAATAATTCAACAGACGTGAAGTGAAACTTCACCGAGGGGATGATTTTTTTAAAGTCCGGCGGCTTGTAAATTTTAATTATTTCGAAAATAAGTCAACGACAAGTTTGTTAACCGAGTTGCGCGTCGTAACTTGGTAATTAACCGGATCTTTTTGTACATAAAGCCAGTGAAACTTGGAGTTTTGTTCTTGGCTCTTGGTAACAATGCAGGTGCAAAGGTTTATTAATTATTTTTGTTGTTATGAAAGCAAGAAATTTTTTAAGTATAGATTTATATTTTAGCTAGAATGAACACGCAAAATTCAACGAAAAACCAACAGTAAAGCAACTTAAATCGTGTGATATTTGTTAAATTTTGTTCTAGTTGGCGCGTACGTCAGCAGTGCAATTGTAACGACTGCGGATAATAAGACTGTAAGGATCATAGCTAACTAGAGCAGAAATTTAAAAAATCACCCAATATTTTAGCTCTTAACTGAATTAGGAACAAACACTTTCCCGAAATAAAAGCAGAACTCATTCAATGTCATTAGAACCGTTATAACAGCACTGTTGCCAGTAATGGTATACGCTGTGGTTCCCAAAGTAGTCGATACCGCCTTCTGGGGGGGCGCTGGAAGGATTCAGGGGGGGAAGGCATAGAGTTTCTGGGAAAAATTGAAAGCGTAAATTAATTTGAGGGGGCGGCAGGCACAAGAAAATATCTAAACATTTTGAAAAACCAGTAAAATGTTATCATTCAAATTAAATACAGCTGATCAACAAGTACTGCTTTGAGTTGGCAATACAATTAAGCAATTGTGAGAAAAAATGTTTCCCTGCTATTGCGAAACCTGATTGAAATGCTTGGAGCCATGTCACTTTTAACCCCATAAGAAAGTTTTGTTAAGTATAACATTTTAATAATAATCAGCAGACTTCGGCATCGTGGAAGTGATGCTCATTGCCGTCCGATCGTCAGCGCTATTGCAGTCATGGCCTACAACTTCGGGAATTCTTAATAAACAACTATTACTTTTTCTAGGTTTTCCTCATACGAGTTCTCCTAGATGTTTTTAAAGCATTTTAACCGATTACATTGGTCAACAACCAAAATACTCCTTTAATAAAAATGTATGCACTTAACGCAGTTCTTTATGTAGATTTCAAATCTGCTCTGCAAATTTTTCCATCACGTCACATTTTTGTGCTACACGTAATTTTATATCGTAAAATTGCCATTTTTCACATAAAACGTGCATCTGTACTGCCCTTATTACACGAGTTGAAAAAATCAGATTCGATGAATTAGTCAAATAGGCATGTGTCACAATTTAACTGACATTTAGAAGTTACGTCAAAATTCTTGTTGTGTGTAATTTTGCATAATGAGTGTAATACTAAAAAAAAATCGCACTTACAATTGGTTTCACAAAAAACGGGACAAGATGAGTAAATCAGGTGCTCATAGATCGAAAAGCAATGGGAATATGACGTTTACGTCACATTCATTGGTCCGGTTTGTTTTTTTTTTTAATCAATTGTACATGTGTAAGAACAACCCTAATGTATTTTGTTACATCTGCAGTCAATATGCTATAAAATGTCAACGTCTGCATATATCACATATTATTAAATTGATATATCACCAATATCTCGGTTTCGAAGTAAGGGATTAGGATAAACAATGGGAGATTATTGTTGGTTCCTGCAAAGGGAGTGTTCATCGAATTGTTACAGTCGTCAAGCAAAAAGAAAACGATTTTAAGCATCTAAAATTAATTAAAACCATTTATTCAAATCCTTGTAAATAAAATTTGCTAATTATTTCATAAAAATTATTATTATTGGGCAAGGTATTATTTTTTTGAAAAGTGTTAAAATCGTTGTTTTTTCGTATTTCGGACTCCAATAAAAATTAAACTAGACCTGCACAAACGGCAAAAATCATTTTTATAGAAGTTTTAGGATACAAGGAAGTCATTTATGCCCAAAAGACAAAAAGCGTATGACTGCGATTTTTTTTTGTAGACCTGTGTTACCGTCAAGGTAATGGATCAAGCCGATTTCTCCATTACCTTGACTGAACTCGATCCCCAAGCAGTAACTCGCCTGAACGAGATCTTTGATTTCAAACTCTTCAGCCAACGCCGCAACGAGGCGGGAGATTTTTTTGGAATCACGACAAGCGATTAAAATGTCATCCACGTAAATGGCAATAATTGTGAATCCTTCCCGGAACCAATCTGGAATAGACAAGGGTCTGACCTGGTGGGGGTTGCTCCATGACTTCTCAGTACTTGGTTTAGCTTGACATACCAGCTTCTCCTCCTCCTCGCCGTTCAAGCATGCGAACTAGACCGAAATGAAAATTGAGCCGCTAGAGACGCCATCAGGCGAATAGAGCTGGAACGAGCCACCGGTGCGAAGGTATCTGAGAAATGGATGCCCGGCTGTTGGCTGCATCCCTGCGCCACTAGTCGCGCCTTCCACTTCTCGATCGTACCGTCTGCCTTTAATTTGTTGGGCAACACCATGCGACAACCGATCACCCTCTTTTGCTGTGGGCGATTTAACTGCTCCCATGAGTATTGTTTCGGATGATGGACTTCATTTCGGAAAGGAACGTACTTTCAGTGAGTTCGGTTTCGATTTCCTCACCCTCCTCCGCAGTATTTGCTCGATACTGCTTTCTAGGTCTCCCCCTTTCGCCGGTTCTCACTATTTTGGACCTGCCACGACCTCTAGTGTGGTGTTGGAAGGCGCTTGAACTTGATGGCCCTCCGTCGATGACTTCGCCTTCGCTCTCACTATCTGCTGATGCCACTGTGATCGCGCTTTCGTCATCCGTCGGGTCGCCGGTTTGTTGCGAACCACTTGATCCCGCTGCTAGTTCTCTACGTCACTTGCTTTGGGTTGCTGGCTTTCTTCCTCTCGTGGGGCAGACCACTCCAGGTTTATGAAGCTTTGGGAAGAATTTATTCGGTCGTTTGCTGGTATGAAGGCTTCTGTGTCGTCCTCGTCGCTCATCGAGTAAGGGGCGTCTAACTCGAAAAATTTGACGTCGCGATTGGTCACCACCGTGCCTTTCTCATACAACCAGATACGGTAAGCCTTGTATTCGCCAGAATAACCGATAAACCTTCCCCCTCTTGGCCGCGCTGGTCCATCTTGCGCCTTCCGGGCTCTCGGTTCAGGTACATCACCCGACATCCAAACACCTCTAAATTGGAAACGTCAGGCACCTTACCCGTCCAGACTTCGTGTGGGGTTCGCCCGTCCAGACTCTTGGTGAGGAATCTGTTGCGAAGGTAGTTCGCCCTATTCACGACCTCAGCCCAAAATCTTTTCGGCAGATTTGCTTCTGCCAATAGACATCTCGCGCCGTCCAATAGGGTGCGATTCTTTCTCTCGGCCGTCCCGTTCTCCTCTGGGTTGTGTGGTGCTGTGGGTCTTCGAGTAATTCCTTTCTCTTGCAAATACTTTTCGAATTCGTAGCTCGTGTGTGTATTCGCCGTCGTTGTCAGATTGCAGCGATTTCACCGTCCTGCCTTTCGGGTTCTCGACAAGGGCAATGTATTCTTTTGTCGCCTGGAATACTTCGGCTTTTGTTTTTAGAAATCTCACGTCGCACCACCTGGAGTTATCATCTATAAATTCAACGTAGTATCGTGCTCTGCCCAAGGATTCGACCTGTATCGGTCCGCACACGTCGGTGTGTATGAGGTCCAGTGTTTCCGTCTTCCTGAATGACTTCTTCGGAAATGGAGTTCTAGACATTTTACCCCTCAAGCATACGTTGCAATCTAATATCGAATCAGAGTTTTCGAGTCGTATTCCCATCATGAAATTCTTTCGCACTACATCCGAAACGTCTCTCATGTTGGCAGGACCAAAGCACCTGTGCCACAAATCATTCGACTGTACCTTGCTTCGCGGGTGGATCGCCATCGGCGATGCGTCGTCTTTCTGTTCTTGTATATAATACAAATCTGCAATTCTGTCGGCGCGGAGAGCCACGTTGCCGTCCTTGTACACGATTTCCGCTCGATCCTTCCTGAAGGTGACTTCAAAACCGCTGTCGATTATCTTACCTACGGACAGAAGATTTGTTCGTAAGTCTGGGACGTACGCGGTGTTCACGGGCGAAATGTTTCTCTTCGCACCAAACGTTAAGGCCGTAAACTGCGATGTACCCGTGCCGTTAATCGCTGTCGTGAAATTATTCGCTAGGTTAAGCACGCCTCGTTTTTCGTCACACATCTCGCGAAAAATGTCGGAATCACTGCACATGTGCGAAGTCGCACCACCGTCCAGACATCATCTCCGTTCGCGGTACGCGATTCGAAACGCGGATACCCCGACCGCGTTGAAGCACAAGTTCTCGGCGTTCTTCGCGAATTGTCTCCCATTGGACCTGCACTCAGCCTTTTTGTGTCCCAGTTTTTCGCACTTGAAGCACCGCAACTCCGCCGTTCAGGGCCTCCTGGTCTCATCGTTAGTCCCCGCTTTCCGTTCTCGATCGCCGCGTCCGCCGCTTCTGTTCACGAACAACGCGTCCGACTTGTTCGCGCGCGATCCGTTTGTTCGGACGTCGCTTTCTTCCACGATTTTTATTCGCAGTGTCTCGGGCGTCGGAACGTCATCGCGGGATTCAATAGCACACCTGAAGTTTTCGAAGCTTGTAGGAAGGCTGTATAGGATCATAATCGTCAGGAGATCCGAATTTATTTCAATTCCCATCTCCGAGAGTTTGTCGACGGTGTCAAAAAATCGTTAAGGTGATCGCAAACTTCGCCACCGTTCACCATTTTGTGGAGAGTCAGCCTTTTCAAAAGCGTCGCTTTCCGAGCCGGTTCTTGTGATTGG